GGGGGGAAGAACAGGGAGACAAGAGAGGGAAGGAGAGAGGGATACAGAGAAGGTGGAAGAGAGGAAGAAATAGAGAGAAACCACTGATTGAAAACTGCCTTTTTACTTTCATTTCAAGACAGAGACTCACTAAGTTTACCCAGGCAGTACTTGAACTCACTGTATTGCAGGGTGACTTTGAACTTGTAATCCTTCTGCTTGAGTATCATTCGGTTTTATTTCTATACATTCAATGATTTCCTTCATGTGTTCATTCTATTAGGACCTCTGACAGTGGAACCAGTATTTATCCCTGGTACACAAATGGAATTTGGGAGCCCATTACCCATGGAGGGATACTCTCTGAGACCAGATACACAGAGGAGGGCCTACCTCCCCCCACAAATGCTGTGACAGACTTTGATGATCCCACATGGAAGGCCTCACCCTCCCTGGGAAGTGGAAGGGGCTGGGAGAGTCAGGAGGGGGCATGGGGGATGGGAGGGAGAGGGAACTGGGGCTGATATGTAAAATAAGATTGTTTATAAATTAAATACATTAAAAAAAAAGTTAGAAAGTACATTCATCAGTACAGGTAAACAATCTCAAGAGATTCAAGAAATGGAGTTAAGTAGTAAGAAACATTTACAAAAGATGATTTGAACAGCCATCTAAAAAAAACTTTGGCAGGGAGGTTGCTGGAGGAGTGAAGTGGGTGTGCTTTGAAAACAAAGTGGTTGAAAAGGAAGACAACCCTCACTTTAGGAACACACCAGAGATTTTGTGTGTATTGTTTTTAAGCCCTCTGAATGTGGGTGCCCGTTAGGAAGCCAGGGCAGTCAATGTGACCTCTAACAGTGGTAGCAGTGTTTATCCTTGGAGAACAAATGGACTTTGGAAGCCCATTCCCTATGGAGGGATACTATTGAAGCCCAGATACTGGAAGGAGGGCCTGGGCCCTCCCCCAAATGATGTGATGGACTTTGATGGTTTCCCTGTCATGAACCTCACTATCCCTGGGGAGTGGGTAGGGGGGTGGGTAGGGGGGTCAGTGGGGAGCATGGGAGGATGGGAGGGCAAGGGCGTGGGAGAATGGAAGAGCAGAGCAAGGGAATGGGGGAATTGATATGTAAATAAGAGTGCTTCTAAAATAAAAAATATTTAAAATACAAAAAAATTAAAAGGTAGAAATAAGTTGTGCATGTGGATAATAAGGAAAGGAGGTGATAAAAATGTCTTGAGCATTCTTATTAACAGCAACATAATGAATCAGAAATGTGACTAATGTCATTTAAATTTTTCTAGTAAATAAAGTTTTATGGGAAAGCATTTTAATGCCAAGTGATATTCATTTCAACATGTAATCAAGGTAATTACTATAACTGTTTTCCATCATTCTTGGCATACCTGGTTACTGGAATCCAGTATAGTTTACATTACAGACCCTCAAAGCTCTAATTAGTTTCGTTTCAAAGGTTCAATATATGTGGCTGCTGTCTGTCCTGTAGAACAGTGCAGACTCAAAACAGACCTACATTATTTATTGTAGTACTATCTTTATGGCATTAAGGAGAATTAAAAAATTAAATGAGAATGATACAGAACATCGAAGACCCAATAAATACCTAATTGCAAGCACCTAGCTCCTCAGTAGCAAGCTGAAATCAATTTCTATCTTCAGATAACTCCTGATCAAAAATGAAAAGGAAGCATAAAACTGAAATTCTGACAATTTTAGAATATGGGAATAAATTTTTAAGGAGACACTGCATTTTTCTCAGTCTCTATGTATTTATTAGGATATAAATAT